GATCCAGCCTTGTTCTGCTCTATATATTCTCAGTTTATTTTTTTGGTGATGGTAACAGGCAATACCTTTAAAAACCCTATTGATTACACGCCGGTGCGTCATATACATCTGTACACGCACGCGTAAAATGGGAACTATTAAAATAGTATTGAAAAGGAGTGGGTAGCATTGTTTTTACAAATAACTCCGTCTGCCTGAATGCAATATTTTGTTGTCATACCTCCTTAATTTTACTTTCTGTTTAGTCTATGCGTTGGAACGTGCTTTCATTCCAAGGGATACTAGACAGGCACATCTTGCTTTAGTTCCAATTCCTCTCAACTTCGCCTATGCTACCTATATAAATACTGCGAGACTTGAAGGCAGCTAGGGCACGTTTTCGACAATTTATTATCAGGTGCAAACAGGAGCGCACGTCACGGTGGGGGTAATTGCAGTGGGTAAAGTAACCAATGAACAAGGGGGTGATGTGGACAAGAAGGTTGACCGTGTCTAGAGCGTCCACGGCCTAACTAACCAAGTTAAGGAAATATGCTCCCTGCACACGCAAGAGAACGGACTCCCCTTCATACGAGTCTCGGCGACAATGTTGTTTCCGCCACTCGGTTTATGAAGGGACGTCCGTTACAAATCAACTTGCTGATGGCTGAAAAAAGGAAATATCTCTGACCTTGCCGCTGCAAGGAGACCCGGATCGGGGACTCGTACAACGTTGTCTGAACCCTGCTATTGAGGGCTTTTACCCATCGGTCGAGATAAGATGGATTTTATCGAGTATCCACCCTCCCTTCTGACCTCTGCAGTGTGCTAGTTAGACGCTAGCTGAACATTTCAAAACCTTACCAATTCCGACTGAAGTGGATACTTGCGGCGACAATGTCGATGACTATTCGGTTATCTATCCCAACCCTATGTTCACATAAGGCGTTCTTCTAAGCCCTCCAGCTACCCTGGCCTATTTTTTCCTCGTTTTACTACGTGACGCTACAGCATTGGAACTGAATCCACTGAAGCCCTCCGATTGAGCTAACTCCGAATTCTTCCCCCTGTTTCGACATGCCCAAACGCTCTCTCCGCCATCCATCACCTTTGTGCCTCGGTTGTTCTTCACGTTTCACTGCTCTCTTGTGTACAAGGCTGAGTATAGACAATATAAAACGCACGTTCGCTGATTTTGAATTTCTTCCAAATTGATTTTTGTTGTGTTTCGTCGGATCGACAAATACGTATGAATGACACAAGAACTAGCTATTTCCTCTAGTAATGTACCCAGTTTAATGTTTAACCCCGAGGTTACCTTTTTGTTGCATTAGGGTTGAATCATTTACCACCATGCTGTTTCCTAGCTGCTCTCGTCCTTCGCTGTCCTTACCACCGTTTTCATCCACTATTAAGCTGGGTGATTTTCCCTCAGTCGAGACCCCTGATGGCCAGTCGATTGCCGCAACATTCTCTGGCCTGGAGACTCTCGATCTGACCTCAACCGAACTCACAGACTTCGACCGTGTGCTTGAGGTGGTCGGCTCCGCATCTCGTCTGAAAAGTCTCCTGTTGAATGGAAATAAGATCCGCTCTCTGCAACTGCCCACCACCACCACCACGCCATCAGTCTTCAGGGCACTCAATCAAATCGGTCTGCGAGACAACCTCCTGGAGGATTGGGAATCAGTCAATGAATTAGCTCGTCTACCCGCCTTGACTACGCTACTTTTCCGGCAAAATCCCATCCTGCTTAACTTAAATCCGTAAGTCCTGTTTTTTTGTCTATTGGCTGACAGCCCTTATGGGGCATGTCACTTGCTGTTAAGCTGCCTGTTCTATTCGGAAAGCTAATACGCTTAACGTTTTGTTAGATATGATGTCCCCTCATTTGATATTACAGACCCTTGAATCTGGTTTTTTTGCAAGTCTACAAGTGACGGGTAGAGGAACGATAAACGAGCATTCTGCTTGTAGCTGTAAGCTTTCATTAAAAGACCGAAATTTGCTTAGGGCTGGAATGTCCAGACCGGACCCGGCGACTACTCAGTCGTCTTTAGTGGAAGAATACCTAACTATGCTGACCAGAATTAACTGTTTGTCCTTAACCAGTGCTTTTGCTGTCGGCGAAAACATGTGACAACGTAGATTTAAACCGTTTGCAATCTGGCCAGTTAGGCTAACTACTTTCCAGTCAGTTTAAGGTTTCGTAGACATATGCATGGTAGTTGGTCCATGTTTACGATGTAAACCAAAAACAACGCCCATGAATCACACTGTTTCGTAATTTGTACTTGTCTGTGCGGTTGTCCCTCATCCGCGCCCGGAATGTGTCATGCAAGGCATCTAGATAACTCAGCATTACGATAATCAAACACCGTGAATGGGCTGACCATGTAAATCTGGTTATGCTCTGTAACCTAAGTGTGTGTGTGTGTGTCGCAGCCCATAGTTGGATCAAGAATCCCTGCCGGAATCCAAACTGGGAGTAGTTGGGAGACGGAGAAAAGCCG